TACATGTTAATTTACTGTTCAGCCTCTGTGTACAAGTTTGAACTCTACCTTCCATTCCAATGTATTTGAAAAAAATGTGCCTGCACACGAAAGCTCATACCTTGAATAAACCTTTGTTGGTCCTAAAGCTTCTAGACCAGTAAGTGATGTAAAGGCCTCAGCCTCTAGGCCCTGTTGTTGACCCTCCAGAGGAACTGGTTAGCCACTGTATGAGACAGGAGGCAGGACTAGATGGACCACTGGTCTGATCCAGCGGGGCTTTTCTTATGTTCTTAAAGAGCTAACGTATGCACTCTTTATAAATGAAACCAGGCACCAGTACTTGGATAAATGTGGAGTTTCAATCACACTGTCAACTGAATGTAACATGAGAACTAATCAACACACGTATAAAGAAAACTTAAAGGCCTGTTCCCAAGTTCCAGTGGATGCATGAACAATGTGTGTGCAGTGTACACTTGATTGCCCTATATGTATGTTGAGTGATTCTCATGTTACAATCCACACATGTACAGCTGAACATGTGATTTAGACCCCCGCATTTCTCCGAGTGCTGGTTGTCAGGTTCATTTGTAAAGTGAACACATGTTGACTCTTTCTTAGACAGATGTATAAAGGAAGTTTGTGCATTCACTGTAATGTGCACAGAGCTCAAGTGTACACTGTACCCCAAATGAGCATGCATTCGTTGTAATTTGTGATCGGGGCTTGTCTGAAAAGAGCTTTGGTTACAGAACATTCAGCGGACAAGAGGTTTAAGTTACAGAAAAGATAACATTACTGTAATGCAAATTTTTCAACATGAAAACAGAACGTTTTTTTAATTGTTGTGGAACGATAAGAGTGGGAAGGAGGTTAAATACTACATAGTTACTTCATTTATACCCCACCTTTCTCCCCTAATGGGGACCCAAAACAGCTGACACCATCCTCTTGCCCTCCATTTTATCCTCCCAGGGGTCATTTTGTAGAAAAAGAGGTGCAGGAGCTCATTAGCATAACTCATTAGCATAACTTATTTGCATATGCCAAACCCCCTGACATCACCGGAAGTGTGTCAGAAGGCAACACCCACCACTCAGGCTCCACTGGACTGTTTTGGGTTGCTAGCTATTTGGGGGGGGGCGTGCAGATCTGTCCTCACAGAGGAGGGAGAGCTTGTACCTGAAGGTGGGCCGGGGGGTGCCGGAGAGGGGGGGCGCTGCAACTTACTTGGCTGCTTCTTACTTGCTCCTGGTGGCCCAAATGAGGGCTGCTGGGAGCAGGGGGTGGGGCTTGTTGCATGTGCCCGCCCCCTGGGCTCCTTACTGCCGGAGCTCCGCTCCTGTGCGCTCCCGCTGGAAATGACCCCTGATCCTCACAACAACCCTGTGAGGCAGGTTAGGCTGAGAGAGTAACCGGCCCCTAGGTCACCCAGTGAGCTTCTGCGGCACAAGTGGGAATCAAACCCGGGTCTTTCAGCTACTAGTCCAGGGGTGGCCAAACTTGCCTAACGTGAGAGCCACACAGAATAAACGTCAGATGTTTGAGAGCCCCAAGGCATGGACAAACATCACACACACGTTTTTATTGGGAGAATATGGAAATTTTGTTAACATTAAATGAGACTGCCAAAAATAAAAACAAAAGGGGTAAAAACAGATATTGATGATGATATTTATTTGTTCAGTTATGTTTATTTGTTTGGTAATGATATTCATTTGTCAGAGAGAGAGAGAGAGAGAGAGTGCAAATAGATGGGGGACGGGGGGGGAGGAATAGAAAAAGAGAAGAAGGAATCATAGAATCATAGAGTTGGAAGGGACTTCCAGGTTCATCTAGTCCAACCCCCTGCACAATGCAGGAAATACACAAATATCTCCCCCTCCACACCCACACTGACCACTGTTCCATGCCCAAAATATGACAAAAAAACCCTCCAGGAACCCTGGCCAAACTGGCCTGCAGAAAAATCGCTTCCTGACCCCAAAGTGGTGATCAGCATTTCCCTGGGCGTGTAAGACAGGCCCACAAGAGCTAAGCACTGAGGCAACCCATCCTGCCCTGCCTCTCATGATCTGCCGAAGTTCACACAATCTGCATTGCTGTCAGATGGCCATTGAGCCTCTGTTTGAAAACTTCCAAAGAAGGAGAGCCCACCACCTAGGGTTGCCAAGTGGCACTTACCCTGCCGGCGGGGGACTCCTGTTTGGCTCCCAGTGTGTGCGCATGCGCGCCGCATGCACATCACAGGGAAGTGACGTCATGACGCCGGGCACGCTGGAGGCGGGGCCATGACCATACAAGGACCGCTCTGTCAGGAAGTTCTTCCTAATGTTTAGCCGAAAACTCTTCTGATTTAATTTCAACCCATTGGTTCTGGTCCAACCTTCTGGGGCAATAGAAAAAAATTCTGCACCATCCTCTAGATGACAGCCCTTCAAGGACTTGAAGATGGTTCTCCTATCACCTCTCAGTCGTCTCCTCTCCAGGCTAAACATACCCAGCTCCTTCAACCTTTCCTCATAGGATTTCAGACCCCTCATCATCTCCGTTGCTCTCCTCTGGACACGTTCCAGCCTCTCTATGTCTTTCTTAAATTGTGGTGCCCAGAACTGAACACAATACTGTAGGTGCGGCCTGAGCAGAGCAGAGCCTTTAAGTGGTACCATCACTTTGCGTGATCTGGACACTATACCTCTGTTGATACAGCCCAAAATCACAGGCAGGAAGAAAGGGAGAAAAAGAGAAAGAAAAGTGGAAAGAAAGCAAATAAATGGGGAGGGAGGAATGAAGGGGGAAAGAGAGAAAGAGAAACAAAAAAAGGCAAATGAAGAGACAAATGCCTTCTCCAAGCCAGCCATTCTCCAAGCCAGCTCGCTATTTTCCAGGAAGTCAGACAACACTCTAGATTTTATGAATAAATGTTGCCTTTACTAAAGCAGTTTCTTCAGACATACAAGATTCGCACAAGCTCCTTAGTTACAATAGGAAATAAACACATCAGCATAGAAAATAACAAAAGCATCAAATAAGGGGGAATGACTTCACAGGTATGCGGTTCATACTTATCTGAGGTCCGCTGAGAAGAAATCTCCTCTTAGAAAAGAAGGGCAGCTAAAGCATCAACGGGTGGACTCTAAAAACACACAGGCTGGACCGGCCAAGCCACATGCGTGTTCCCTGGTCGCGACTCCGGGGAACTTGGAGAGTCACCTGAAGCACCTTAGTGCACGCTAAGGGAAGGGTGGGTTAACCCAAGAAGAAAGCTCGAGAGAGAGAGAAACAAAGCCGCGTTTCTCTTTTTATAAGCTATGTTTTGGGCATGGCCTTACCTGCCATAACTCCAGGGTCCGTCCTCTATCCTATGGCTATAGGTCCAAAGGGGGTGACGTCCTAATGAAGGGGAAGGGGGCAATATGTAGATATTCTATCCTACATCAAAGCGGGGGCCATGTGGTGAGGTGTGAACCTTCGTTTCCCTTGACAACCTTTGACTTGTAGAGATGTTGCTGGTTCAGAGTCATAAACAGTGTTGTCTTTTTGATGCCCAAACCAGATAGCGGAGAGAGAGTTACGTGGGTTCCGACAGATCAACAATGGTGGGGTTCGCTGTTGTTTTCCAAGGGTCCAAGTTAGGGGTAATGGCGCTGGGTCTCCTCTGTCCCGAGGCATCATGGGATTAATTCCAGGGAAGCACATGGTCTGCAGAGACAGCAGGCAGCACAGGTCTTGTCTATTCCTAGGCAAGCATGCGATGCAAGGCAAAGCTACACAAACAACAACAATCCCTGAATCCCCAATGCACAGATATACAGACATGAAACCCACACAGGCAGCATCCACACAACACAGAAATGCAAACACAGGCACCCATGGTAACAGGGGGGGGGGGGTGAGAACGCATTTAAGAAGAAGAGCAGATTGGATTTATACCCTGCCCTTCACTACCCGAAGGAGTCTCAGAGCGGCTTACGCACTCCTTTCCCTTCCCCACAACAGACACCCTGTGAGGTAGGTGGTGCTGAGAGAGCTCTGACAGAAACTGCCCTTTTTCAAGAACAGCTCTTATCAGAACGATTGCTTGCCCAAGGTCATCCAGCAGGTGCAAGTGGAGGAGTGGGGAATCAAACCCAGTTCTCCCAGATTAGAGTCCGCGCACTTAACCACTACACCAAACTGGCTTTAGGGGAGAAAGGTGGGGTATAAATGAAGTTGGTTTCTTTCTCTGCTCCCCCTACCTCAAGCCTATCCAGGGAAGGGAACCCTGGCTGGGGAAGGGAAGACCGTTTGGGCATGCCTCCCCTTCACTTCCCCAGCTGCCCTGCCGGGAGCCGCATAATATGTGTGAAAGAGCCCCATGCGGTTCCTGAGCTGCAGTTTGGCCACCCCGTACTAGTCCAACACTCTCAACTTTACCGCAACCCTAATGCCTTAAACGAAAAGATCCATGAAACTCCCGGGTGAAGTTCCCTTTCTCTTTAGTGTGTCCAGGTACTAGGAGAATTCCAGAAACAAGGAGGAATGGTTGTCCATTCCCTCAAATAAAAAACCTTCACACAAGCTGATGAAAAGCCGCTAATAAAATAACGGCTGAGAGGAAGGGCGGGGGGAGTCCTCTCTAGGCATAGCCCCGTTTCTGTTTTGGTTTTATTTTTTTTCACTTCAGGTTTCTCCTCCCACGCTACCAAAGTGTCTTTGACAGAGCTAATCATTTCCTCTTAGATCTGCCAGGGTGAGAAAAGGGAAAACTGCCGCTGTTCGCTTTGATGAAGCCTTCAGAGGGAGAAATTAGCAGCTGTTCAGCGAGAGTTGGGAGCACCAGAGATTCGGGGAGGCGCCCAGTTGGGGAAGGCGGAGAATAAAGAGCCCGGGCTATGGTTCCCTCTTAAGTTGGTCAAGGGCACAATGAGGGGTTGTCCCCCCCTTTTTTTCTTTGAACAATGAAGGTCATTAAAATCAGATGGCTGGGGAGCTAAAAAAATCTCTCTTTGCTGTTTCCTCTTTTCTTCTTACCTCAGCTGTCGCTTTTCGTTCCGGCCGAGGAAGCCATAAGTCAACATGCTCGCCGTCAGGAAGAGGAGCGTGAAAATGTTCACACTGGCTTTGCTGTTCGTCGTCACCATCACCTCCTTCTTGCTGAATTATACCCACAACGCCGTCATGGTCACTTGGGACCCGAAGCAAATTATCGAGCAGTTTCGGAAGCTGGTGAAATACTCCCGGAGGCCCTGCAGCTGTGATACCTGCATCTCCGAGCAGGGAGTCTCGCCTTGGTTCGACGAGAGGTTTAACCAAACTATGCAACCTGTCTTGACCGCGCAGAATGCCTTCATGCCTCCAGAGAACTACAAGTGGTGGCTGGTAAGTTGGGAAGGAGAGGGAGAGCCTGTGTTGCGGGTGGGACGTTCGGCGGGTCAGTACCGTCCTTTCCGTAAAGCTGCCGAATCCTCAGGTTGGGAATCCAAACTGCAGCGCTCCTGACAGCCCACCCATCCCTAAGCAACTGGTTCCAACAGAAAACGACTTGGTTGGGTACTTTCATCCGCAGAAGGGCTGTCCCAGCAACCGGAGGAGGGAGCTGTGGCTGAGTGGTAGAGCATCTGCTTGGTATGCAGGAGGTCCCAAGTTCAATCCCTGGTCTCTCCAGTGGAAAGGCCCAGGTAGCAGGTGACAGGGAAGACTTCTTCCTGAAACCGTGGTCAACACTGACTTTTGATGGACCCAGGGGTCTGGTTCAGTATAGGGCAGCTTCAGCTGCCTGCATAGCCACAATCGACAATTCCATCTGCATTACAGACCCCAATTGGGTTGCCAGCCAATGGCTGGCCCCCCACGGCAGACTGGGGTTGGGGTGGGGACATAGGAGGCACTGTCATGTTGACAGCATCACGTGTACTGATGTAGCTTTCTCAGGAGGCATGGGCTGGGGTCCAGCAGGGCAGGGCAGAGGCAAGATTGCAGAGAGTAACCAAAGTCCAGTCCAAAAGTCAGGGGTTCCAGAGAGCAGGTTGACCAAAGTCCAATCTAGGGTCAAGGAGTCCCAGGCAGCAAGTCCAGTTCAAACTCAGAGGGTTCCAGAAAAGCTGGTTGTCAGGTCCAGTCTGAGGTTCAAGGATGCAGAGGTCCGGTAGCAGCAAGGTTGGTGTCTTAGTAGCAAAGTGTACTTGTTGCATCCACAAATTGCTGCTTCTCCCAGCTGAATTTAAGGCCAAGTCTTAATGAGCTAAGATCCCAGCCAGTTCCTTGGCAGTCATCCCTAAACTACTCATTTGTCTCTTCAGTTGACAGCTGACGATGGGCTATGAGCCTCGCACTTCTTCTACTTTCTTGCAACTCTTATGTGTCTCTGAAAGTGTTGGTGCTGCAGGGTGTGGGTGAGCTAGGTGGGCTGGGAGTGGCTGCTGGAGACTTGTTTGTTGCTTCAGAGTTACTAGGGGGTGTCTCGGTTTCAGCTGTAGGCTGTGACTCCTGATCCCCTGGTAACCTGATCTCTTGTTGTTCTCCTTCTGTCTCAGAGCCAGCTGCAGCCAGCTGTTCAATTACCAGCTGAAGCTAGCAGGTAGCTCTTCATCTGAGAAATCTGAGCCATCACACAGCACTTATGACACCATGTCATTTCCAGGGCAAACCCAGATGTGACATCACACTGCTCTCGGATTCCTAGAATTATGTCATGTCCAGGGCAAACCTGGAAGTGACATCACACTGCTCTAGGATTTGTAGAATGACATCACTTACCCAGAAATGACATCATGCTGTTGAGGCAGTGAGTTAACAGCCACATGGTATAGTTCTATTGCAAGTTAGACATTAGAGATATCAGCCCTATAAAAGCAGTGGGTTGATGCCCTCCAGTGTGCTTAGATGGTGGCCCCAATCCACTTTCCCAGTGCACAAAGCTTCTGGTAATATAGAATTTTCTCTAAAGCACATCACATGTTTTAGGATAAGGATTCATAGAACTGTGGAGGGCTTGATGTTCTATTATGACCAAGCTAGTAACCCAGTCCATGAAACGACACTTAGATGAGCAGGGGGGTTGTTTGGAACTGCCCAGTCCAAACCCAGACTCATCTGTTGATCGATTAATCCATCTCCAGTTTTGCACAGTTTGCCCTCGATAATTGCTCTTACTTGTTAATTTGGATCCTGCTTGTTTAAAACAATTCAGGGCAGCGATTGAGGTTATGGCAATCAATACGATGAAAGCATCAAAGTAGACATCTCGTTCAAGATGTTAAAGAGACAGTCAAAGAAACGGCTAGTAAATGGACCAAGAGTGAAAAATCACAAAGCCATTGCCTTGGAAATACCTGCCAGGAGAGAGTGAGGGGGGAGGGGAATGGGCATAGTTTTCATAAACCAGGAGATGACCAAGGAAAATGGGCGTCACTCTAACATCAAGGAGCCAGAGCCAATCAACTATGCGGAGCTTCTGCGGGCCCTGCCCTTTTGGACTCTCTCTGGGACAGCTTTGCACAACTCTCTTGTCATGCCACACATGGCTTCTGCAACCTAACAGATAAGGTTGCCAGCTCCCCCCTGAAAATAGGTGGAGGAAGGGGGGGGAGAAATTAGCAGGAGAGGGAGGGAGGCTGCGGCTACGTTGCCAGCGACGTGCCTACATCACGCCTGATGTGCACAGGAAATGATGTCATCATGTGACAATGCCACAGTGACGCTCTGGTATTTGAGCAAAAACTCTATGGTAAGAATTGTTTCTACCATTGAGGGTTTTTTTGCTTCTACCATAGAGTTTTTTGCCCAAATACCAGAGCCTCTCCTGAGCATTGCACAGGAAGTGGCATTTCCTCATTGCTGGTGACATCACCTGGGCCTTCCTCTTTCTTCTACTATCTGGGCCACTGCTTGAATGAAACATTCCTGTGGATAAATCCGGAAACTTCCCACATATCAATTAAGCAGTCTGAGAATACTAGTCGGAGCCACTGGACATCAAAATTTCAAGCTCAGGATCAACATCTGACGACCTGAATGGTAACTGCCGGTCTCTCAAGTCCTCATGTTTTATTTATTTATTTAGATATTTATATCCTCTTTTTCTTCCTCGTGGGACCCAACATGACTTACAAACACGATTTCCTCCTCTTCCGTTTTATCTTCACAACAACAGTGAGGGTTCCCAGCCCTGCCTCAGGAGATATTTGAGGGTGGAGTTTGGGGGTGATGTGATGTCACTTCTGAATGACGCTCTAGGGATTCCCCCTAATCTTGATGGTAAACACCACAGAGACCTGGGGAAATTCCTAGAATGTCACTATGGAGATCATTTTTTTTCTCCCACTCCTCATTCCCCAATGGGTGGGGATTTGAGGTCTTGTTAATGTTCTGTGAACAGGCAAATGGGAAGCCTAACCACCACCCTGTGAGGTAGATCAGTCTGAGAGAGAGTCGTTGGCCTACGTTTACCCAGTGTGCTCCCATGGCAAAGGGGGGATATAATCCTGAGCCTCCAGTTTCCATTTTATCACTCAGGTGCTGTCCTTAAAATGCTGTTCATGCTCCGGGTAACCCCAGAAAAGAAGGAACTGGTATCCGATCTCAAGAAGGAGAAATGGACCAGTTATAACGTTTTCGGGGTCCCACAAGTTCCGTCCCCGCTTGCTCAGTCTTCTTAACTTGAACTGAAGCAGAGGTCTATAAACAGGAGCGACCCCTCCTCAAATCGTTTTTGGGCGACCCAAAGTATCCTGCTTTTATGGGAAGCTGTCCTTGAGACGTTTCTCAAATGCCTGGTTTTCCAGATGTCCAAGGGGCCTATTAAATCTATGCTGACAGTAACAAGCTGGCGGACCCTGCAAAGAATCAATACCATTTAAGGCAGTGGCCGACTTTTTGTTATCGCTTCTTGTTTTTACCAGCCGCCTCGGTGTTTTTTTAACTTTGGGTTGTAAATGGACTTGGAAAACAGCTGCCAATGAAATCCTGGGCTCATTCACTGATATTCAAACTGTCCCAAGGGGGGGGGGGGGGGGGG